GAGTGATGGATCTTCACCTGAGGAGAAGAGTCGGCACCATTGGCAATGGCTGCATCGGCTTCTCTTATCACACTTTTCCAATCTCCGGTTTTCCGAGCATCAGCGCACCGCCTGAGATGCTTCTCCAGTGTCTGCAGCCGCTGTAGATCAGAGTGATCAGGGCATTGCCCTGAGAAACAGAGATGCCTCCTCGCATTCTCAGCGTCTCCCAACCTGAAGACAAAGAAAATCTTCTTTTCATCGTTGCATTCTCAGACCCGAATTGGAGAATCCTTCGAGTTCTAGAATTGACTAATTCGATCAAAGTTGAATCCTTTCTTGATTCCGATGCGTCCCTATTCGTAGAAATTCGAGGTTTTCTGCGTATATGTATACCTGAGATAAAGCGAAGCCAGTCTATAGTGAGCTCGAGCGTAGGAAGGGTCGAGCCTCACAGCCTCGAGGCACTCCTTGACGGCCTCTCCAAGCCTTCCCACCGCTGTCAGCGCCGCCGCACGGTTGCTCCGGTAAGCTGAATTTCCCGGCGACAACGAGATCGCACGGTCGTAAAACGCCAATGCTCCGCCGAAGTTCCCTCTCCTGTACATCTCGTTCCCTGCCCTCTTCACCTCCTCCGCGTCACCGCTCTCCGCCGCTGCCCTCGGCGCGTGATTCGACTTGCCGTTGCCTCCTCCACCGCGTACGACGTTGCCGTGCCCGTAGTTACCGGTGCCGGTGCAGAGCGTCTCGGGTCTGCTCGAGACCCGTTGCGCCATTCCGGTCTTCAGGATCCGACCCGATGGGCAAATGTTGCCGCTGGGCAAAACGCCGGGATTCGACGAGACGGCGGAGGTCGCGCCGCTTCCGCTCCCGGCGCCGCTGTGAGAGCTGTGGCAGGTCACGGAAGAGAAGCTCGAGCCGGAATAGATCAATGGTGTCCCCGTCGAGGCGGATCTCCTGTGACCCGGTTTCATTATCCGGGTCGACATTCCGGATCCGGGTAAAGCTGGGCTCGTCTCGTCCATGCTGGAAATCTCGCCGGAGTGAATCTTGGAG